GGTCCTACTTCTGTTTAGCAAATACATTTTTAGTATATTTTAGATAAATATAGGTAAAATAAACTTCAAGTATATCTCTGATAAGTACATAAAAAGTAAACTGAAAGTATATTCTCTTATTTTTAGGTTAAAATTATTATGATATGATRCTTGCATATACTGCTTTTTAGTAAAGGTTTGTCATTTTAAACATCAGTATTAGTGAGACTGACCTTTCACCCCACCATCATGTAAAAACTGAATTAATACATATTCATATTGTTGTGTGAGTGAAGCTGTGGATATAGATTACTTTGACTATTTACTGATGGGTGTATTACATACTTTTGTCAGTACTTGTTTGCTCAGTTTTAATGTTCTCTGCAGGAGGCAGCCAATGCAGTGAAACAATGATGTAACACTATGAAAAATCAACCTTTTCTGAACATTTTTCAGGTTTGTGACAATTGCAATGTTCTTGTAACAATAAACTGTAATCTTAGCCCCCTAAAACAGTAACTTTAGTCATATATTACTTATTTTATGAACAGAGTAGTTAAGATTCCTGCATGTGTGTGAGGAGAGAAACAGAATGTGACTGAACTCATTCAGTGAGCTGAAGGGTAAAAACAAAAGGCTGCAGCTGACTTCCTGTCCACACAGAGATGTTTCCTGTGACGTCATCAGCTGCCAGCTTCACCGCCGTAACGTCAGCGCTTTGACAGACAGCTGAGCTACAGCAACATCACTGAGAGCACTGATGAGAAGAGGAGTGTGTGTGTGTGTGTGTGTGTGTGTTGGTGCGTGACTGTGTGCATCTGCGTGTCAGCTGTACTGAGGGTCAACCAGCCCCAGCTGCATTTGGGGGAGGCTGTAGTTATGTCAGGCATTCAGCTGTGACCTCATTCTGCAAGAAGGAGAAGGACCTGTGGGAGGTGGGGTGGGGGGGGAACAGGTGGGACAACAGGGATGACTTCATGCTGGTAGATTCTGATTCTGAAGACCACCACAGTTAATAYAACAACCCAAGGCCTGGAGAATAAAAACACAGATTATGATAGTTTGGGCCACAGAAAACCATGTTATCTGACTTTGACTTGTTTTAGATTCACTGCTGAGATGTGTTTGGCTTCTTCCTGCTTCCTTTGATCATTCCCCTCATCTTTCCCACATTTTCTCCAGTTCTCTAACTCCCCATCATCTCTTCCTCTTCCTCCACATCCCTCAGTCTTGTACTTTTACAGTTCAGCCCAGGAATTTTGCCTTCTCAGCTGTCCAGTGGTGTCTCATGCCAACCCAATTTAGCCTCCACTTCTAACCCGCCCCACCACCTCCTTCAACTCTCTGCCCCCTCCTTCGAACACCTCCTCGCTTCCTCACCGCTTTGTGGGGGTGGGCGTCTGTGGGCTGGATTAGTCGTCGGTCTAAATTTGGTCATGCGTGGCAAAGGAGACGAGCACCTGCYACAGTAGGACCCTGGCCTCTCCTCCTCCTCCTCCTCCTGAGACCCTTACATCAAATTACACCCCAGCCTGGCCATTCCTGCCAGGACTAACGCTACAACTCTTCCTTTAACCTTTAAAATCTGAATTTTAGTCTGGATTACATCAGTATTTACAGCTGTGACAGTATACTTCAAATAAACAGAATATCTTTACATATTACTAAAGTATTATTACTAGTACTGCTACCTAAAAGAGTACCCAGAGTGGTGAAGTGATTTAAGTTGGTCCTGTCAACTTTACACAGGATCAGGTACGTCACTAGAATACATATTTTATTTATCTCAAATTTACATAATTGACTGAAAAAAGATTTATTTAATGTGCATTCCCATAAAGAATACCAGTAAAGTTTTTTAATCACTATTTGCAAACAACCATCGAGTTGTATCTTTAAAAATCATGTTGTGTTAATGGTGGTGTGATAATTTGTAGTGTTTGAATGAATCCCTATAAAACCGTGGTTATTTTAAGACAGCGACAGTCTATTTTGGGCTTGGATTAACTGTTAGCTCATCAGTCTAGTCAGAATTAAGAGATGTCCTTAACAAAACCCTCCTTCAAAATAACAGAACTATCCCTTTTAAACTGTCCCTGTTTCATTTTGTAGTGTTTGTTTATTTATTTATTTTGGTGTGAAATTTCCATCTTTTCATTTTAATGCTTAGTCAATTCTTCCTCGGGAAAATGAGAAAAATATTTACAATAAAGCTTTATTGTTTCATGTGGTCTAACACAGTAATATGCCTGTCCTAAGAAAGGACATAATATGGTGTGGTGCCGTCCATCTGTCTGTCTATCAAAGGACAATTTCATGTCTAAACTCTAAATTGATAAATGTCAAACTGCACAGCTTGTGGATCAAAGGTTGTCCTTGTTGGGTCAAAGGTCAATGTTTGTTCTTTAAAAACAAAATAAATTATATATGCAATAAAAAATGATCAATATACAAATCACAAATTTAACAAAATGAAAGGCAGCAGGGAGAACAAAAAAAGTTCTTATAATAATCTTATAATGTCACAGGTGACCCTGTTGTTAAATCCTTGTTTCTGCTCCAGCTTCATCTCCACCAACAGAAACCTCAAAGCCTCTGTTTCTGTCCATAAGACAGTCCACAGGAAGTCGTTCATGGTGTAACTCAACAAACTTTAAGGGTAGAAAAAATGTCAGATTGTGGCTCCACATCAGAGCTTTTTCC